TTATTCCGCAATCTTTGGGCGTCCATAGGATGGATCTCTCATCCCTTCAGTTTTGTCTAGCCTATTTTCATTGACCCATGTTTTACATGTAATCTCGATACCGGAACATATGCTTGACCGTATTTGACATGTGGTATGGCATATTAGAATCTATGATGAGATGAATGGTCTAAAACCTCTGCCCATGGCATGGACGCCCATCTACGCCTTATCTTAATTAAATATTTGAGAATGGTAGCATAAGTGAAGGGAGCTCATCAGGTCAATCCTTTTGGCTATTCTACCATTCAAGGTCAAAACCATGAAAGCCATATCAGTTAACAGGTTTTACGTACGCTATGCTGGACAGTATTAGCTAGGCGATGTATGGGAAAATTCAATATTTACTTTGATGACTAAAGGATCAAAGGAAATATGAATTTTACATCATTTTCCCCAAAAGAAAAATATAAAAAAGTTTTGGACATTTTTACTATTTTTGAAAATTTCTACTATTTTATGATAAGTCTTGGTAAATATGTACTAATTTGTTATACTTAATATATGACAATTTACTGGTATATTTTAGTAATCTATTGTATTTTATGGAATTTTACTATTTTATGATAATTTGTGCCGGAAAGTTGTACTGTTTTAGGATAATTTTTATTACTAATGATAATTAATGGTAAAAATTGGTAACTTATTTTGGTTATTATTTGAAGATTTAAGGTTATTTATTAATTTTTTTGGATATTTTATTAATTTTGTGATAATTTTTAGTGAATATATACTAATTTTTGATACTTTCTTTCCACACATAAAAGGTCATTAGGGGTTGGTGGGATTAGAGGTCAATGGTTTTGATTGTTGGTTTGGGTTCAAAGTGGTTAAAAGAAGGGCCATTTGAACCTAAATTACCTTAATAAATCTAATTAATAATTATTAATTTCTATTGTAATACAAATAATTTTAATATTGTTTTACTGTTCTTCTACAACAATTAAATTATTTTATCGTTATTGTTCACTTAGGTTGATCTATTGTTGCTCTTTATGATCTAAAGTTTATATCTTTTAAATATCTTGTCATCATATTGGACTTTGGACATTGGTCTTTTTGGGCTCTTCTAGTGTCATATCTTTTCATCTTTATAGTTTTTTCCTTATAGATATTAGGGGATTTTACCGTTCAGTCCACTCCTAGGTGGAGCTAGGATTTCTGGGGATGGACTAAAATCTTGCTTGTAGATTTATGCCGGATTCACGGGTAGGATGCGGTTTATAAGGGGAGAGGCTACTAGTAGGTTAGAAAGGGGTGCAAATCAGATTTTTGAGGAGGATTGCAGTCCAAAAATCCTTAGATATTATTCATGTATAAGTTAAAAATAATTAGTTTTTAAAATTTTTAATTTTTTTTTTGTCATTTTAAACACAATAAATGGATAAAAATTAAATCCAAATCTAACCCAAATTCCTAACCATTTTCAACTCCAAGGTTTCACAACGAGATGTTGATGTGGATGTAATTTGATCCATCCGATTACAACCCTACCCCAGAGCGATTTATGTAATTGATTACATTTCTTTTCATTATCATATTGAATATCGGGATTTTTCATACATCTCACGGGTCCACTAGTATATATTTAAATCGAATCAAATGAGATTATATTGGATCGGATAAAAATATATGGGTCCATATTTGATCCAGTTATAAACAGATTGGATTCGGATCACCCTTTATGGGATCAAATGGAATTTGAATTCGAATACCGCTTGCAGCTCTTTCTTTACGTAGTTATTAGCTTTGGAAGTCGAGGGGTGTCTCCAAACGAATTTGGTAATTACTCTATGTAACGTTACAATTTTCAAATAAGAAAAGAAACCTTTGACCTTTGTTGCTAAAACCCAATAAATAACAATAATTGTTTCTGATGCCTTCTTTAGAAAGCTAAAAGTTCACAATTACCTTCACCAGCTCACATTACCAAATTTAATCTCAATACTTGCTATTTACATGTATCCTTGTGAGTGTTATATAATGGAGATGTGCGAGTAGTTGAATAATACTTTTTCTTTTCTTCTTCTTCTTCTGATTGTGAAATAGGTTGATCAAGGGGCAAGAAGCAGTAGTGATCATGGGGTCCAATTGGACTCGGTGGGTCGTTGTGGAAGCAGTATTGGCACTTGTTGCTCTCCAGGTTCCTCTGATTAGTAAGATTTTTTCCTTACATACTTTTCAGTTTTTCCCTAACAATTGTTCTCAAGTACAGAATTTCTGTGTGCTAGATAATGTAAAGGATTTGATTCTGAGCTTGGATTTTATTTAAGCCAATTGAGTTTAAACCCATTGATCAGGATTAGTAGATTGATTAGTAAAGCTAGAAACCATTGGATAAGTCTGAAACTTGATTGATTCTTTATATTGAGATTTTCTTCTCCCCCTATTTGATTTGATGAATAAGAACATCACAGCGAAGAGATAGAATGGTTAAGATCAGTCGACCAGTTTCTCAAAAACCAAAAAAAAAAAAAAGATCAGTTGATCAATAAGATTTCTAGGACCCCTCCTCCCTTTTTAACTCTGTAGAAGAAAACAATTTCCTTAACTGATTGGACTTGATTTATAACAATAGCTAATTGCTTGAATAACCATTGTTATGTCCATGAAATTCAATTAATTTAGTTTCTCATTCGGTCTACTGATTGTAGTTCAAGATATAGAACCAGAGAGACAAATGATTTTTATGTAAATTTTGTTTATACCCTAATGGGTTTAACAATTTCTACCACATATACATTATGCAGCTCCTGTTGGTCAAATCATTACCTCTGAATTGAATCATAGTTCAAATGTGATTCCAGAGACTAAAAATACAATTTTTTAAGTAAATAAAGCCTAGTAGAAAAAGTTTAAACTCTAATAGCTAACTATGATACTACCAAACCCAAATTGTACATGAAACGAGAATGACAGCCTAACAAGCTGGTTCAGCCCTCCAAGAAAATAGGACACTCTATCTGATTAGACAGATAAACAAAACCTACAATTATGTCAGTCTTTCTTATTATATTTTCTTTGAGAATTGAGATCCATTGGGTTCACTGGTTTAACCATCCACTTGGACTGACCTGCCCAWCTACCAGGTTGACCCAGCCGGGTTTCTGAAACATGAATAAAAAGGATAACCAAACTTTGAAAAATTTGCAGGTGGCCATATGATTGGAGTTTGCTATGGGATGATGGGGGATAATCTGCCATCCCCAAAGGATGTAGTAAGCCTCTACCAGAGAAGTGAAATTCAAATGATCAGACTGTATCATCCCAGCACTGAAGCACTACAAGCCTTGAGAGGTTCCAACCTGCTAGTCTCCCTAGGTGTGAGTAATGGCGATCTGAAGCAGCTCTCGTCAAGCCAAGACGCTGCCAATTCTTGGGTTGCTTCTAATGTCCTCCCATATAAGAATGATGTCTCATTCGGTTGGATCACAGTAGGGAATGAGGTGATACCAGGTCCCAATGCCCAGTATGTGGCTCCAGCCATGAACAACATTTACAATGCTCTCCTTTCAATTGGGTTGGATAGAGTTAAGGTCACAACAGCTGTTCCATCTAATGTTCTTGGCAGATCCTACCCTCCCTCAGCAGGAGCCTTTACTCCTGAGGTGGCTGGTTATATGAAGGAAATTGCAACATTTTTGTTCCATACTGGAGCACACCTCATGATCAWTGTGTACCCTTACTTTGCCTATGTTTCTGATCCAACTCATATTTCCTTGGACTATGCATTGTTCAAATCAAAGGGCCCTGTTGTTGTGGATGGCAGCTTAAAATACTATAACCTCTTTGATGCCATGGTTGATGCCTTCAATGCAGCCTTGGAGAAGATTGATGCAGCAGATGTCCTTGTCGCCATATCGGAAAGCGGTTGGCCTAGCGCCGGCAATGAGCCTTGTACAAGTATTGCTAATGCTCAGACCTACAATATGAACCTCATCAATCATGTGACGAAGGGTGGTACTCCAAGGAGGCCAGAACACCTCATGGACACATTCATGTTTGCCATGTTCAATGAAGATCTTAAACCAGCTGGGGTTGAGCAGARCTTTGGTTTCTTCCATCCTGATATGAAACCTGTTTATCCTTTGTTCTGATGATTAAATTTGTTCCAATTATAGCTAGATCTAGGCCAGTGTTAGCTCAAGCTGTAACAAATTGATGCTCATTCTTTGTAGTCAAAAAAGATACAACAATTTAGTCCATGATTTATGGAACTTTTGATCAATTTGTGTGGAAGAGCAAGAAATATTTCAGGTAACTAATTCAACTCAGTTGATTGCCTTGCATGAATATAGCAAACAGCTCTCCCTTTCAGAGTTTCAATAATATAATGGGCATAAGAAAGCTCAGGCTTGATGATGTATAAATTCTTCAAACTGGGCATCCGACTTCCAGCCATATCTGTGACAGGTATCCCTTTAAAACTTGTCTGTTGTTGGTGCTTCTCCTAAATAGGTTGCAAGTCTACCCAGCCCAAAATCCCAAGTAGGACCCTCCGTCCCTAAGGTTATGTTTGGTTTGAAAGAAAAAGTAGGAAAAAGATAGGAAAGGTAGGGAAATTTATACAAGATTTGTGAAGGTTTCCCCAACTTTCCTTTCCTTTCCCTACTTTTTCCTTCAAACCAAACATAGCACAAAGGTTTTAACTTTTTCCTTCAAACCAAACATAGCACAAAGGTTTTAACTTTTAACAGAGGAATAAGACTATGGTCGGTGCTCGGTCTGGGCCAATTATCAGTCTCTGTTTAATAAAAACTGGGTCTCTTTCCAATATAGGCCCAACCCATCCAGGTAATTCAGGCATAATACATGCCTACGCAATAATGAAATTTTCTTTTTAGTAATAACATAGAAACAATAATAAATTGAGAGCCTGTATTATGATTATTTAAAATCTAATTGCTTTCATGTGTACTAAACTTCAAAATCAAAAGACCTGAAAAGAATTAAAACCTCAATTCTCTCTCTCTCTTTCTCTCTAGGGATATTATTCCTAGAATGGGCTTAATAGACCTTGAACTATGGAGGATAAACCCTGAGCACCAATACTTTGGTGAGAATGGGCAGATTTTATGGGCTATAGCATGGTGTTTTGGAATGGCTACCAATACTTTGGCAAAACCCTGAGCACCAATAGGGCACTAAACAATGCTTGACAATGAGAAACAAGATTTAAATAACTTTTTGGCATCTTGGAAATTCCAGATCTTAAGGAGGAACCTTACTAAACAAGGTTTTCATTTGTAATCTGAAATTAGTGTAGTGTTGAGGGGATTCAGTGGCTAGGGGTTGGTCATAATTGACTATTTGGTATCAATAAAGTATGGGTTAACTGGGAAGGATGTGTGAGAGGTGTGTCTTATCTCTCAAGGATAGGCCCCTGTAAAACGTCTCCTAGTTGGCTCTGGCTTAGGAGGGGGAGTGGGTGGGAAAAGTCTTTGTTTCAATGAGTTGGCTCCAAGTAGGATGCAACTTGGGTGGGCTTGGACTGAGCATTTACTAAAATTTGAATGGGTCTGGCCCAAGGGCCTGTGCCCGATTCTGTATAATTTTTTCAAATCGGTATTCAACTTGCATCCCTAACTCCAAGCCTTCCTTAAAAGCACAACTTTCTTAACTTGGGTAAGTTAGAACTTCAACTACACTAAGCCTTGTATAGCTCGCACTTGATATCAAATCATGGTGAGTGGCTCTCTATAGCTTCAAATGTCCTGGCTAAGATCTTGAAAAGAGAAAATATCGAAGTTGTATTGGCACTAGAAGCTTGGCTCTTTTGTGGGGTTAAGGGATTGTTTTTTTTTTTGGATAATTGTGCTACACATTCTCCATAATCTTGGCATAATGAATTGTGGTGTGGATAACTACTCTTGGGAGTTGAATATCCATGATGTGGATATAAGTGTGAATTATGCAAACAAATCCACTTGTGAGTTGAATATCCATGATGTGGATATAAGTGTCTCTCATTAGGATGCTTGTCAAATTTTATTAGCATTTGTGTACACAAATGTTTCCTTTGAGATAGGGATGATCATGTATCAGGCCAGGCATTATACATGATATTATGTATGACCAAGCTTTGGCACTACCCGGACACTGGATCTAAAATAAAGGCCCATCCCTGTCCTATATGGGCCCAAGTTGAGCATCCAGTCTTTCCCACCAGGGTTGGCAATTTTCCTCGTTCCCATTGGGTATCCAGACTCTCCAACCTGACGGGGTCAGATATGGGGGGTTATTTGGTGGGGTCGGGGTTGGGGATGGGGCGATCCCTGAATCCCCGATCGGATTCGGGGGCGAGGATGGGGAATGCAATTCTCGCTCTGATCCGACCCTGATTAATATATAATTATATATATAATATAATTTATTATATTATATATAATAATAATTATTATTCATTTTTTAAAAGATTAAAACTTAAAAAAAGTAAAATACTAAAACAATAAAACACTCGATGACTCAATAGTAAAACCTTTCGACTTCGAGTCTTTGATAGAATCCTAGCTTCGTCTTCCTTCGTCGTCGATTCATCTATTGGTGACCGTCGTCGCTGACTATTGCCATTTGCCCGTCGTTGTTGGACATCGGGCAGAGATACTCAAGTCTCGACAGAGGACAGAGAAGAGATACTCAAAGAAGAATTTCAGTTCTTTAATCTTCCTTCAACCTTCGCCATCATCACCAACCGCCATTGCCGTCGCCTCACCCTTCGGACTCTCTCTCATCGCCAACCTCAGCTCTCGCAATGGTCCTCTCTCTTTCTTTCTCTCTCCTAGACTCTCAATCTCACTGTCTTAGTCTCTCAGACTCTCAATCTCTAGTTCGTCGGGGATTCGGGTCTCCAATAGGGAATTCATCCCCATTGGGGTCAGGGATGGAAGGGGGATTCCTTTCTCCACTAGGGGTCGGGGTCGGGGATGGGGAATATAATCCCCGCCCCGAACCCACCCTGTTGCCATTCTTATTTCCCACTCTATACATACATACATACACACACATGTACATATATGCATATGTATGCATGAATCGAATTCGGATTAGCTGAATGCAATGGCTGCTCAGCTGTTTGTGGAACCAATGATAATGTTCCATGCTAGTAATAAGTTCATGGGTTCACTGTGAAAGATGCGGATCCCGTGCATTTTTTACTGTTGTGGAACTTTATCGTTGGTTCTACAGCCATCACATTTAGCTAATCCTTGTTCATATGAGTTAGTCTAGCAATGATTCACCCCTGTACTGGCCAAATTAAGAATTCTTTCTTCCTCCTTCATCTTCCTGATTTTTGATATGAAAAGATTTCCCAATCAACTAAGGGTCTGTTTGATTTATAGTCAAAACCAGAATCAATATCCCTTGGAACCAGATTTGGAATGATTTATTTCCATAATCTATTCAGATCAGACAGAAATTGAAATAAATTGAAATGAAATTTCATTCCTAAGGGAGGAGGGAATAACCATTTTCTCAAATAAGAAAAAGCCATTCTAGCAGGAATTAAAATGGGATTTCGATTCCATTGGAATCAGAATAACTCATTCTGATTCTGATTCAAAACCCCTATTCCTGTAAACTAAATGGGCCCTAAATTCAATAGCTAACCTTGTTTTGGAACTAATGATGATACATCCAAATGCGCATTCTTCGAAGGAAATCATTAAAACTTTCCTTGACTTTATGAACAATGTATGAGCTTCGTAGTTACCTCCAAGGGTATCCTGTCAAAGTTCATCAAATGACAAGTGAAAAGTGCAAAATTACCACTCTACAATTTATCTAACTGTTCACCTTGAAATTTATGTACTTATCTACCCAAGAAAATATTCTTGAGTAATGGCTATTTATAAAAATTTTTAAAATGCCACCAACCTATAGGACCCACCTGAACTAAGAAAATGTATGAACATGAGAAAAGATCAATGTTATATCTTGGTGCATTAAGTGGATGACACTGATTAATGTTTAGATCTTTCAAGTAGATAAGTAATCAAGATAAGCGCTTAGATTTTGGCATCCCAATGGATAACCAGATCAGTGTGTAGATAATGTATGACTTTGAGTAATTTGATCAACAGAAAAATAGATCAAATGATGCAAGTTCCATAACTCTAGAGATGAAGGCCAGAGGTCATAGTTGTAGACCTTTCTTTTTCTTTTTTCCACTCTTATTGGGGAAGGGAAGGAGAGAGAAGGGGTAATGGGTTGGTAGCATGTGTATAATGGTAGGGGCATTTTGTCACATTAAAATTAAATATGAAGATGTGAAATGGGTCAAGGTCATTGTTGTCATTTAAAAATTATATATATTTTGGGTCAGGTGTCTACGCCTTCTGTTATGAACTAGATGGAGACTTAACAAAAGACATGTTTTTGATTCATAAAACCGTTCCCGTGAAGTTTCAGATATTGTCAGTAAGTCAATGGTATGTATATATAAATAAAGATAAATATGGAGGATGATCCCCACAAATTGCCATGTGGAAGATTGTTGGGTTGTTTAGACTTTTTCCTTCAAAAAAATCCCCTTTTTGATAAAAAAATGAAAAATAAAGATAAATAACAGAACAACCATGGAAGTCTCTCCATTCAACTTATTTAAAAATCAAGTATGGAGGATGATCCAATCAACAAGATTTCACTATCATATTTAATCTTATAGAATTCTTTCTAAAGAATTGCTTACGTGGGTAAACATATATTTCAGAAGTTGCTTTTCAAGTCCACTGTCTGTTGGACTAATGGGTACAATTTGTGGTCTATTCTCTGCTTGCTTTGTTCACTCTTAAATTGCTACTTGTTCTGACGTCAAAGTCAAAGCAAACTTAATTGTTATGGTAAGAATCTTGTGGCCCAACTAAAATCTAGGGGCTTCCAAAAGTAAGAGAGAAAACCTAATACATGAACCCCTTCTCTTCAACTTCAACTTGGATCTTTTATTTTCTTACAGTAAGGACTAGATCTACTGGGATGATTGACCATTAAATAGAAATTTTAGTGGGAGAATAAGAGGAATTTTGTTATCAGCTTTTTACATAAGATCTGGGCAGCCCGAAGATAGTTTAACAGTCAAAAGGCGTATTTTTCCGTATAT